TCTGGCAAAGGTAATGTGAAGCAGAGGGTCACAGATGCCTAGAGAGGAGAGCAGAAGGGGCAGCTGACAGAGCTATGCCTGACACTGTCGTCCTGTCCAGGACTCCAGAGAGCCTGGGGCACATGCATGCAGGCTGTTTAGAAAGGGATGCTCCGGGTTTGGCCAGCTTCCCAGGGCCCCTGACAGTTTCACAGGCTACGAGGGGTCCTTTAACCACGGTGATAGATTCTACTTCTTCCAGAACACCCAAGGACCAGCAAGCCCTGCATGTTCCACCTGCCAGGTGCTATCTCCTGCCTGAGTCACATGCTTTCCCAACTCCTCCAGAGATGGATGCCACAGCACTCAGGGAGGTGAAGGTAGAACCAGCCTCAGCTGACCACGACCTTGGTGTGTCTCCCCCCCTCCCCCACACTCTAGCACCACCAGTCTGGCTATGTGGAGCCCCGACTGGGTGGTACCATGCAGTCCCTCGGGCAGCTTCAGGTGGCCCACAGCTCAGCGTGCCCACTGGCTTCTCTCCCAGCCATTGTCACCAGAACGAAGTCTCTATTGGGACAGTTATTCCTGAACACTTGACAGTTTCCAGTAAGAAGGGGAGGCGGGGGCCCCAGGCTCATCCACTGCACTCCAGATGTACTGCCCAGTGCAATTTCCCCCAAATTTGAGAAAATGGACCACATAACTTGTGCTAGTGTGCTCTGTGCACCTGTTTTCTCCAGGTGTGGTGGTGCATGTCATTAATCCTAGCATTCCAGAGACAGAGGCAGGCAGATCTCTGGGAGTTTAAGGCTAGCCTGGTCTACATAGTGAGAGCCTGTTTCAAACAAAACAACAACAAACTAAGAACAACCCTAAGACCAGGGCCAGTGAAATGACTCAGTGGACAAAGGCAGTAGCCAAACCTGATGGGTGTCCTGAGTGTGATAAAAGGCAATAAACAAACAAACAAACAAACAAATAAATAAATGAACGAATAAAAGACAGGGACGCACTTGGCTGGCCTGGAACTCAATATGTAGCCCTGGCTGGCCTCAAACTCACAGAGATCCACTTGCCTCTGCCTCTGAGTGCTGGGATTAAAGATGTATGCCGTCATGCCTGACCAAGAACTGAGTTTTATAAGTTGTTCTCTCCATGCACAGGTCCTACCCTGAAGCCCATATACAACAAATAAACACAGGAAAACAAAGACACACTCAGCTCCACTCAGTGCCTGCCACAAGTACTAATAATGTCTCTTCCTCTCCCCAGCCCCCATAATCCCTCTGTGCTGGAGGTAGCCAATCCAAAAGCACCGGTAGACCAAAGATGGTCACCTTGCTTGGCTGTAACAGTCTTGCTGAGGACCCCAGGAGCCAACAGGACAGGGGGAAGCTCAAGATTCTAGTTGTTTCTGATCATCTATGAATAACACCTGTGCCAGTCTCTTGGGGTACTGTCATGGGGTGCCTTAAGCCCTGGGTGTCTGAATGGACCAGGCAGGCCCTCCAGAGCCAGGCAGGACCATGCTTGAGGTGTCTCTCTGGGATCCACCCTGTGCCTGGCATGGGAACATGTAGGCTGCCCTCCCTAATCACCATTCCTACTACTACTGTTATTATTGAGACAGGCTCTCACGTAAACCCCGAATAGCCCAAACTCAGTGTAGTGGAAGATCACCTTGACTTTAGGATCCTTCGGCTTTCACCTCCCAAAAGCTGGGATGGCAGGAATACACCACCACACCCTGGGTATGTAATGTGGGGACGTAAGCCACGGCTTTCTGTGTGCTTGGGACGTGCTCTGTTCCCACTGAGCTACATCCTAGCCCCTACTTGTTGGTTTTTCCAAGACAGGATTTCTCTGCTTATCCCTGACTGTCCTAGAACCCAGAGATCTGCCTACCTCTGTCTCTGGAGTGCCGGACTCAAAGGTGTGCGCTGCTGCCATCCAGACACCTACTTGGGTTTTTAGAGACAGTGTCTCATACTCCACTGTGGGCTAGGGTTCCAATTTTAAAAACAAAAAGCAAAACAAACAAAAAAACCTGAAAATATTTTAAAATAGCCTGATACAGACAGGCTTCATATAAATATATAAGGAAAAGTAAGACACAATTTCAGCCAGGTGTGGAGGTACAAACCCATTATCTTAGAATCTGAGAGGATAAAGCATAAGGATCGAGTCTGAGGCCAGACCAGAATACATGCCTGGTGGGATGTCTCTGAAAATAAGGGAACAAAAACTGTACAAAACAGTGGAAATCTGTGACCTGGTATCTCTTATGACTTATGAGTTGATCCTATCGCCTCACTGAGAGCCGTTAGCTTAGGTCAGACCTCACCATGTACCATCTGTTGATGGCTCTCACCCTAGCCATAGTTTCTGCCCCACAGTGCTTCCTGGAGGAACACATGCTCCGGTAGCTATGCTCATCAAGGCTGTGGGCACAGACCCACACACCCGGGTTAGTGACGAGGGAGGAGGCAGCAAGAGCCCACTGAGGGAGAGATGCTAGGATGTGGTCAAACTTTGTGACGTCTTTTCCCTCCAGGTCTGCTCAAGGCCACATTTGTGTAGACACAGCTGGCTCCCCATCCCACCCTGCGCAGCTGCAGATAGAAAAAGACGAAGCAGACACGGGTGCATCCAGACACGTTTATTAAAATGACACATTGCCATTTTAATATCTTTCCCGACCGTCCCCATCAGTCCCCAGGGGCTCTCGATACATGATTGAATGCTTCTTTTGGATGGGGCATCCACTGTGCACAGCACATACGATTTCCGGGTCGACGCCTGTATCAACTACAGACCGACTCGGTAACAGGGGGCGGATTCAGACTCATCCCAGCAACAAAACTCCAAAGGTACAGCCTTGTCTCCTGGCACAGGCGGACAGAGAGGTCCGCAGCCTGCCCCAGGCAACACAGCTCCTAAGAAACCCTGAGAGCAGGGCAGATGCCTTCCACCTGCAGTCTCGGCACTTGGTTGACTCCAGGAGGAGGCCAGCCTGGGCTACTGAATAAAGCCCGATCCCACCCCCCCCCCCCAAAAAAAAGGAGGGAGACCTAGCTCTATTGAGTGGCCTGGCAGGCACCAATTTCAATCTGTGGGCATGCCTGTGATCTCGCACTTGGGAAGCAGGGTGTGTGTGGTGGGGGGAGAGGATCAGAAAGTCAAGGTCATCCTCTTTCAACACAGAAAGTTCAGGGCCAGCCTGGGCTACTAGACCCAGTCTTTTAAAAGTAACAAAAAGAAACAAAAGACCTTCAACTACCTTCTCCTGAACACTCTCGGAGTCTAGGGCCTGTTTTTTTTTTTTAAACAACAAAACAAAACACAAAATCTGTATTGTCCTGTAAGCCACCAGACAGAAAGGGAAGTTTGGGATGTGCTCCAACCTCAGCTTTGGGGCGTGGCTTCTTCCTTCTTGGGCCTTGGTACAGAATAGTATTTTAAGTATCCGATTAGCATTCAAACAAAGAGTTTTCTACAGGAATGTGAAAGACAAAAAAATGCCAATCAGATCCCCCCCCCCCCCCCCCCGTCTTGCTGTCTGTAGCCTCCCATAAAGTTAATTCGGGAGGCGGCTCAGAAGCCATCCAGCAGCGCCTTAACATCTTTGGGGAGAAGCATTCGGGGCATCCACTGAAGGAGCTAAGGTCATTTTGTATAAACTCCAAAGAGTCATTCATTAAAATTAAATGTTCTCCCTCACCTCAGCCACCCCCCCTTTTTTTTTTAAATGCCGCCAACCACGCTCTTCCATCTTGGTCTGAGCGACAGGGGTTACATTCGTAAAATATATAAAGAAAAGTATAAGGGTTACTTGACTTAGTGACCATACAGTGCACTCCGACAGCTGGCCGCACATATTTTCACCATGAATACCCCTTACTAAAAGTAAATCATTGGGTAAAGATAGCTGGAACGTGACAAGAGTCCAGCGGGGCGCGGGATGCTACATGGGGAGGAGAAGCAGGCGGACGCACTCAGCAGAGCCTTCTGTGTGGTCACCAGGGACCCAGGAACTCTGAGGTAGATGGGAAGAGAATGTGTTCACCCTGGGACAGCACAGGAGTGCTGCCCAGGGTGGCAAGGACAGCTCACCCTCAAATGATGGAGTTCCAGCACAAAGCGCCCCCAAATTCAGGGGAGCCTGTTTTTTTCCCCCAGTTTGAATTCTGCAAAATCCATTCTGTTATATCCTGACAATGTATTCTGTCATATCCTCTATCACAAAACAGAATTTCATTCCTAGGGTTTGAGTCGTGGCTCGCGCGCGCGCACACACACACACACACACCTCCTTGTCCCTTCCCAGGCAATTGACAAAGTTCCAATGGCTACAAGCCACATGCCCTGTTGACCAGTCCAAAAAAGGCAAGCAGGAGTTTATAAAGTTGCCTAAGGGTCTCTCATCCGGTAGGTTGAAGAAGATTGACTGCAAGAGAGTTCAAAGATCAGTTCTTGGAGATCTAAAAACAGAGGCGGGAGGACTTCCAGGACGCACTTCTGTCCCTGGAGTAAACCGATCCGACCGGGTTCATACCAAAGGGAGCTGAGTGAGGGAGCGGCTGCTGCCGGACGCTGGCTCCCCGACAGAAGGAGAGAGCCCAGGGTCCTCCCGTCACTGGCTCAGAGGTCCCAGGCAGGCCTTTCCAGACACAGAAGAGGCCAAGACACCCTTGAAATCTGATGTCACAAAGTTTTAGAGACTCGACGCATGAAATAGCGGCACAGCCTAGACTTTGACAGTGAAGGAAGTTCATCCCGCTGAACCAGAAAAAAAAAAAAAAGTCCGAGCTGCGTCTGATTTGTTTGTTCCTTTGGTCGTTTTCCCCCAGAAGGTGAAAATACACAGAATTATAAATAATTGGCTGTCCGTATATACATATTTAAATAATTAATTTAAATATCTTACACCTGTTTTTGCAAACAGTTCTCCAGAGAGAGAAAGTGCTCCTCCTGAGGGGTGGGGTGTGCTTCCGAGGCTGAGGCGGGGCTCCGGAGGGTCACAGTCTGGGAAGGAAATGGGTTACCTTCATGGTAGGCGACACGCGGTTGCCCTTCTTGGTCCGCCCGTTCTTGCTGAGGGCCATGAACATGCCGGGGTACACGTACGATTCGTAGGCGTTGTAGTTGTTGGGGAGAAGTATCTCTTTGAATTTGCACTCGTCGGTAAAGAAAGGCTGGGAGAGAGGACACGGGGGGTGAGTCGGTTGCAGCCGGGGTGGGGTGGGGTGGGGGTGTCCAAGAGTTGGGGAGGCAGGCAGGGTGTCAAGACTGTCCCAGGCTTGGCGGAGGTGAGAAGGCCCCGCTAGGAGGAGCGTAGAGCTCAGCTGCCTTGGCGCTATCAACCTGGCCTCTCCCGCCGCCGCGTGTCCTGCCTGCTGGGACCCCCCTCTGCTCCTCTCCTTGGGTTAGTAAGTAAGCCACTCAGAGCCGGCAGGAATAAGGGAGGGGTGGTCCCGTCGGTCTGGAAACCCAGCCTGCCTCCGGCCAAACCTTGAGACCTGGCGACCCCACACTGCCGCTCCAGACACAAGTGTGTGTGGGGGTGGGTGGGTGGGGGGTTTACAATTACGCTAGCCTTGCCCGCTGCCCCCCCCCCCCCCGCAGGCGCCCACCCCGCCGGCCCCCCCCCCCCCCGGACACTCACCACACCGAAGAGCTTGCCCCGGCTGCTCATGGCCACGAAGAACCGGCTGGCCACTCCGAAGATGCTCACCACGCCCCGCTGCACCGGAGACAGCTCCAGAAGGCCTAGGGGGAGGGGGGAGGGGGAACGCAGGTCAGAAAAGCGTAGGTGACCCTGGGCCCACCCAGAGCCTGCGACTGTGAGCCTCTCTGGACCTCGATGTCGGGGCCAATGGGGGCGAGAAACCCTGCGTCCCCAACGCGAGCGTCAAAAGCCCGTCTCCCGTCTGTCCTGTCTGCGCCCCCGAGCCCGGCCTCGGTCTGGGCGCTTGTCCCAGGCTCCCGTGGGTGCCGGCGGGCGAAGGCGCTGGAATTCGGCACCGGGAGCCCAGGCTTCCGAGGGCGGGAGGCGGGGCCCGGCCGCCGGGTGCGCTCGCCGCCCTCCCGTCCGAGGGGAGTCCCCACGGTCCCTGTGGGGCCGTTACCCGGGTCCCCACCCTCCCGGCGCGCCCCAGCCCACTCACTGTCGCCGGTGTCCGCGTGCACGCCGCCGATGCGGCCGTCGGGCAGCACCTGCAGGTGGAATCCGATGCCCACGTTACAGTAGAGCCGCCGCAGCCTCTTGAGGCCGAGCAGGTAGTCCCCTGCGCCGCTGCGGGCCGATGCCTGCGGGGGCTGCGCGGCCACCGGCAGGCGTGCCAGGGAGCGGGCCACCAGGCCGTCCCAGCCGTGCCCCAGGTCGGCGGACCGCGTGCCGTTGGGTGCGGCGGCCCCTCGGCCCACTAGGGCCACCACCAGGGTCAGCAGGACCCCGGGCAGCAGCATCCCCATAGCCGGCCCGCGCTTCGCCATCCCGGCCCGCGGGCCGTGAGTCCGGCGAGTCCTGCGCGCGCGCGCGCCGCGCACGGATCGAAGCTGCGGGAGCGAACGACCCTGCGACGGTGGCGGGACGGTCCCCGCGCGCCCGGCCCTGCCGAGCAGCGGTATATATAGCCGGCGCCCCCCTCCTACTCGCCCGCCCGCGGGGCGCCGGTCGCCTGGGAGCCGGGGCGCGGGCCGCCTGCCAATCACCGCCGGGGAAGGAGGCGCGGACCGGGCGGTGGCTACTGTCACCTGTAGAGACCCCAACCCCTCTCTCTTGGCTCCGCCCAGCGCTCGAACCTGTTGGTCCCGCCCCTGGGCTCTTGGCTCCCCAGGGCACCTCCCGTCTTCCTTTCTTGCTGGTGGAGCCTTGGGGACCCGCCAGTACCTGGATCCTTTCTGGTGCGCCGAGGACCGGCCTTGGGTTAGGGTGGGAGGAAGCAAGCCACATTTCGGCTTGGCTCTCGGGGGTAACTCTAAGGGTGGCATGACCGGGAGGGAGGCAAGGCTTGGTCTGGCCTCAGAGGCTTAGAAGTGTAAGGGTCTGCCAGGTGGAGAGAAGCCTGAGCAGCAAGCAGGCAGTGGGCGCTTCTAGGAGAAGTCGGGTTAAGGACACCCAGGGTCTCCCAGGTACCTCTAGGCAAGGACAGACAGGAGGCTTTTGGAGCCATCAGTGTCCTACCTCTGGCAACAGAGCAGGGCTTTTCGAGTGTGGAGACCAGCCAGACCTTCCCAACCTACGAGCGCACCAAAGGCTCTGGAAGGGTCCCTTCCCCCACCAGCAAACCCCCCCCCCCCCCCTGTGGCCATTATGGCCTGATGGGCCTGATGGGTAGCGCCCTAGTGCTGCTCACCTAGGTGTGAATGTCCCTGTTCTGTGGTATCTGAGGGGCCTGGAGACAGCAGGTGACCTGGCCCGTATGCAGGGGCTTCAGAGCCTGCTGCGCCCTCACCGCAGAATCAGTACCTGGGACCAGAGCCTCCTCACAGGTCTGTGGCTTCTTCCTGCCCTCTGTCGTGGGCTTCCTGGCGCTGACTCAGAACACCAAAGGAAAGGCAGCCAGGTCCTGAGACCCGGGGGTGGGGGGTGATGGGCGGGGGGAAGGCTCTTGAGGCTCTATCTAGTCCTTAGTCGGGTTACAGGCCATGCCCGGGAATCCCTTGATGAGGCCCCTTGGCGGCCTGGGATCCCCAGCGCCTCCAGTAGGTGGTAGGGCTGCTGCTGCCCTTGCTAGCCGGGGAGCAAAGCCAGCTACAGACACACTCTCCTGGGACACATCCCTTCCTGCCCCATAGTCCCTCGTTCCCCTGCTGTGACGTGTCACTGGAGGAGGGTGCAGACCTTGGTCTGGGCACTCGTGGGTGCCCCTCTTGGGAGCTGAGACCCAGCCAGGCCTGGATCAGATCTAAGCCATTGCCCTGCATTAAGGCTGCTGCTGATAGCGGACAGGTTCCCCCCACCCCCAACTCAGTTTGGGGGTGCACCCCTGACTGTGACAGAAGGAACCCCTGGGCACACACCCTTTCGTGCCCTTGACAGTGAAGAGAAGTAGTCAGGAGGGTGGGGCACTATTATCCAACTGCTCTGGGGTTCTTGCTCCTGGCTGTGGCCCCTGAACCTACAGTAGCGGCTTCAGGCCGCTCATCCTCCATTTTCCGTGGTGTTAGGGAGACTGTGGGAGCTTAGGTGAGGATGAGAGTCCCTCAGACTGACCCTAGTTTGTCACTAGACCTCTACCTTCGGCCTGTCCATCTCCCAGTCCTTTCCCTTGGCCCGTGACTCCTCCCCCTTAGGGTGCCCTAGGAGGGCAGTCTTTCAGGATGCTGGTGTGCCTCCACTCACACTCAACTTGCAGCTAATTCACAGCTCTTGAGAATCGTATGGGGTCAGGCTTGGTGTCCCACACCATTAATCCCAGCACTCAGGAGGCAGAGGCAGGTGCATCTCTGTGGATTTTTAACCAGCGTGGTCTAGATAATGAGTTCCAAGTCAGCCTGGGCTACAGAATGAGAGCTTATCTCAAAAGGAAAAACAATCACAACAAAAATCTTCATTTGCCGGGTGTTGGGGATGCACCTTTTTAACCCCAGCACTCAGGAGACAGAGGCAGGCAGAGCCCTGAGTTCAAGGCCAGCCTGGGAGACAGTTCCAGGAGACAGAGAAACCCTGTCTCAAAAAAACCAAAACCAAACATGCCTTCATTTATTATCTGGCCCTGCCCTGCTGAAATTGTCACCATAACAGGTCTGGGGCTTTCCCAGTTCTATCTCCAGGGCTTGGAATACAGCCTGTGGGCCCAGGGCTACTGGCTAAGCCAGGCCCGGAGCAACTCTGCCAGTGACTGCAAGTCTCAGGGCTGAAACTTTTAAGTGTCCCCATCCTGGGACAGACAGGATGGGGTAAGGTGCCTTTGGATTCGCTAAGCTGGGGCCCTGGGCCTTCTGTCCTGCCACAGCCCTGAATGTCTGGTCTGTTATGAATTTGGGACACAGGAAGATCCTGCAGCCACCCGGCTCTGGGTTCAAGTCTAGCCTCTGGCGTGTAGCGGCCGAGGTGGTGGCTGTTATGGGCTGTGACTCCTTTGGTGAAGCGTTTACCTGTTGTGCAGGAAGCACCAGGTTTCATCCCGGCACTGAATTACCCAGGCACGACAGTGTACGTCTATCATCCCAGCACTCAGTAGGATCAGAAATTCAAGGTCATCCTCAGCTACAAAGAGAGTTGAGGGCCAGTGCGGGCTACATTGTGCCAGCAGAGGTAAAAGCTTAGCAAAGTCTGAGGGTGCAGTGCCTCCGACCAGGCCTGACTGAGAGCAAGTGTTGGTCTCTGAGGAAGAGCCAAGGCTTATTGAGAGCCTTCATAAAAAAATCACCCTTCGGTAGGCTGTAGGCGGAGACTGACAGGTGGGCGGGCAGCCGGAGGCTCAGACTTGAAGCCTGCAGTTAGGGCCCAGGCGAGTCCTAAGAGTGTGACCTTGCATGACCCAGTGTCGTTCCCTTGAATAGCCACTTCTCTCTAGGAACTGGGCTTCTCCGGGTAGCCAGTTTAGCTGTTAAGAGTTCGGCAGCTTCATCGTCATAAGAATAGGAATGCATGAAAATTGAGTTCTAAGAGGGGGGAGGGAGGCTGTCCTCTGGGCACGGCCCAGTGTAAACTTTACAAATCCGAGCCCTGCTTTTCCTTGAGTTAAATCCGTCTTTTGGCCTCGGCAGTGCCTTTATGCAGACACAGACAGGTGGGGGAGGCCTGGCAGGTGGGTCTCCAGAGGTGACACCGCAGGAACTCCAAACCGAGGGGGAGGTTGGCTAGTGCCTGAGTCCTTTAAAAAACAAAATGGAAAATTGGCTGAGCTTGGTGGTACTAGCCTTTCAGGAGGCAGAGGCAGGTGGATCTCTGTGAGGCTGGCTTACAGTTTCAGGCTAGCCAAGGCAACACAGTGAGACCCTGTCTCAACCCTGTCAAAATAATAATGGTAATAATAATAATAATTGCTCTCTGATAAAGGCACATTGCAGGACCCAAGCCTGATTGCCTGACTTCAAATCCAGGAACATGGTGGAAGGAGAGAAGCAACTCCTGGCCCAGCATTCTCTGTGCTGTGCTGCTGTCGCCGAGCTCCGGCTCCAGAATGTGCTCACCTCCCAGGCTGAAACTGCGTCCCCCTTAAATGCTGACTCATCCTCCCCCAGCCCACATCCTGTGGAGCTGAGGACTCTGGGATCTGCAGCAATCAGCCTACCAGTATGTGGTCCTTTGTGCCTGGCTGGGCTAACCTCTTGGAACTCACTCCATATTCAATAGGTACAACCGCAGTGTGTGTGTCTGAATTCCCCTCCTTTTGAAGACCGAACACTATTCCACCGCTCAGGCGGCCATATTTTGTTCACCCCTCGGTCTGCCTGTGGCCACCTGGGTTTCTACGGTGGAGCTGCTGCGACACACTGTGACCCTTCCCCCCACTAATGTGCACACGCTTAGCTGGCACCTTTCCGGTCTTCCTGGGAAGGCTGGGGTAGATGGTAATTCTACATTGAGGTTTTGGGGGGCACTGCTGTCCTTCTCGGGCATTATCCTTGGCAGTACTGGGGCTTGAACCATGAAGTCATGCTGTGAGGCCAGCGCCCTTCCACTGATCAACAGCCCAGTCCATTTCAGAGGAAAAAAGATTTATTTACTTTTATTTTATGTGTATGAGTATTTTGCCTGCATGTATGTATGTATGTGTTGTCCATGAAGGCTAGTGGGGGTATCGGATCTCCTGAGACTGAAGGTAATTATGGTTGTGAGCTGCCACATGGGTGCTGGAAACATGGGTCTGGTCCTCTGCAAGAGCAACAAGTTCTCTTAACCACTGAGCTGTCTTCCCAGCCCCTGTTAAAAAAAAAGAAAAAAAATCCAGGCCAGGCCTGGTGGTACACACCTAATCCTAGCACTTGAGAGGCAGAGGCAGGTGGATCTCTCTGAGTTGGAAACCACCTTGGTCTACCCAAGGAGCTCCAGATCAGCAAGGGCTACACAGTGAGACCCTGGCTTAAACTTTTTATTACAGCTGTTTCTATGTATGTTCTGCATGGATGCAGTGGGCACGTGGAGGCCCAGGATAATTTTCCAAAAGTTGGCTTTGCTTCCAGGGATTGAACTCCGTCATCAGGCAGCAAGTGCTGTTACCCACCAAGCCGCCTCTGCAGCTGCCCTCAGGCTTTCCTCTCTGACACAGTCTCCAGGCAGAGCAGACATTGACTTCACCACCTGCAGCTCCGCCTTCGAGGGATGGCATCACAGCCGAGCCTGCCTAAGGGATTGGTTTTCTGAAGCAGGGTTTCTCTGTGCAGCCTTGGCTGTCCTGGAACTCTCTCTGGAGACCAGGCTGGCCTCTTGAACTCAGACATCCACCTGCCTCTGCCTCTTGAGTGCTCAGTGCTGGGATTAAAGGTGTTCACTACCCCTAAGGGCATTTTTAAGAGCATTTTGAAAAGGCATCTTGAGGTTG